CCAATAGATCGGCCAATTGGTTGCTGTCCAGCATCTGATTCGGTCGCAACGGCTTCGGTGTCAACACAATCTCCAACAGCTCTCTGCAGAGGAAGACAATAACATTGAGATAATCGGTTAGCAACGGTACGTGTCATGTCTTCAGGGGTGGCAATACTTGGCTATCATTTCCATGTCATCGACAATAGAGAGAAGTCGGTCGCGAACGCACTTCTCGGCCATTATTCGTGTCCAGTCTTGGGATCAATTGGTCGACCAAATGATAATCGCAAACAATTGTTGACAAAAAACTTGCCGTCAATTCATATCACGTGTCAAACAAAAGGGAAAAAAACTTTTTATGATTTTATTTCACAATTTCTCATAAAATCCCCAAAACTATCACTCAATACAGGCGTTGAATAACACACTAACCATTGAGTCACGCGTTTAGTACTTTTCCATAGCGAATGCCTGTGTGTGCTATGACTGGCGTTCGCAACGCATTCACTGCCAACTCTTTCACTACTAAAAGGGCTCAACTTTACGGTGAGATAACGTCAAACACTTACAACGATTACAAGCATTCAATCGTACGATCATATGATTGAGAGTTGACAGAGATTTTGCGCCATTGAGTGTACATTTTGTGTGGGGATGTAGTGTTGCCAGTGATTCAGGGATATCGCCCGACACTCACACTGACATTGACCCGCAATAACCCCAACAATAGAGTTAGCATTTGTATAGATTTGAGCGCTAATAAAGTGAGTATGCATTCAGGGATAGCGTATTCTGGGGCTCAGTATTGGGGGAATTTCGGGAATTTTGTCAACTCTAGCCTCAAGTCATACACTGTTTGCCATATTTTAGAGGCGTTTTTGTAGCGAAATAGCGTTGTTTAGCTCAGGAGACATACAGTGAGGCATAGAATTGAACGTTACTTTCATTTATGGTTTGCTTTTTTGTTGTGTGAATGCATTCGTGAATTGAAATACAGTTTAGTTTTTTCTATGCTTTTTGTGACCAAACAATAGATCCAATCATTCAATCATTTGATTATTAATTTCATTAATTAGTCTTTTTGTAAGTGTTTTTCGTCTCAAATACCTCTCCGTTTGTCTCAACAAAACGACACAAATCTCTCGTTAATAATGTCTTTAATCTATGTCTTGATGTTTGCGTTAATCCGTGAGTAAAACCCATTTTTCAATACGTATTTCTAATGTCTTTTGAATGCAATCATTATTTAATTGATTTGTTTCTCTCAACGCCTTTACTATTGAATTAATTAATACGAGATTTAAGTATCAAATTAGTTGTTGTATTGAATTGTATGTGAGATATGTGTGAAATGATATGCAATTTGTGTGGCTTTTCATTGTATTGTTTGTGTCTATCGTTGAGTCAATTGATTTGTATTGATTTGAGTGAATAGTATTGGTTTTGCTGTCAATCTTTTGCATTACTCTTTAGGCCATGTATTTCTCAATCCATTATTTGTATTATTTTGCCATTTATTATGTGTTTTGATGTCTTAATAATGACTCATTTTGTTGCTGTCTATCAATAGATGTATAGTTTAAGTCATAAGAAAAAGACAATTATTATCACTCATAGAGATGTCTGGTCTCTGTTATTGTCAATGACTTTACGTTATATTTTTTGATCACATTTTGTGAGTTTTATTTTTGTTATGGATTTAGTATTTGATTATTTAGTAAAACGGATATAAATATTTGAATAATTGCTTTACGATTACAGCCATTAATATGAGATTTTTAAGCGCAACCATTTGTTTGTTCACTATATCAGGGGTTCACTCGTATATAAAAAGCTAATCAATTGATTGCTTTATAAATAGCGAGTTATGGTTTGATAAGTGGATGCGTTTAGTGTCTGATTAGTGGTGTATATGTCGTTGTCGTTGAGTTGTCTTAAGACTGCTTGAATCCAATGGCAAAGTCTTGATGACGAGAGATATGGAGTCCAGTGTTTGATTTGTTGCGTAATCTTATATTTATTAATAGATATGGAAAATGTAATTATGTTTTGTATGTGTATATAGTGTTTGTTTGTTTCAGACAACCAAACAGTTGTGGATTTGAATTTTAAATTCACATTATTTTTCAGTCAAAACCATGTTTTAAATGCCAGAATATTTTTGCACAATTATTCACATGTAGTTTTTGTGATATAATTTTTGTTTTCAATTGATAGCAGTTTTCTAGTAGTGTTTGAAGTTTTTCGTTGACTTAATTATATTCCGAGTCATTTGATGTGATTTTGACGTCTATTTGTGTGTATAAATTGTGATAACATTTTTTAGTGGTTTGAGATATAATTAATAGATTTGTTGTTTTTTTTTATTTCGCGAGTCATTGATATGTATTATTGGATAGTTTTTACAGATATCTTGCAATGAATTGTTTTTTATACGTAATAAGCATTTTATTTGATTAAAAATCAACGCAAACACGAGTTTTGTTGAACCAATTATTTAACATTGAAATTAACTTTAGTCTGTAATTCAATATCTATTTAAAGGTCTTATTTTATCGACAGTCGCCTCCCATTTCAATACCCCTTTACATGCATTCAATGGCTTTTAGTTAAGGCTTTTTATTGAGACTTTTGAGTATTGTAACTAATTTTGAGTTAAAAATGCTATTGTAATCCATTAGTTATATAATTAGTGTATTTTCCATACAAATGTATATTACATAATATGCATGAACTTTTTTACATTTGCCATTTGCTATGAAATGATATAATTGTGTGTTTGGTTTGCAGATGAGCTGTCAGTCTCTCTCACACTTTTCTCGTGACTTGCTTTCGCTTTTTTCACTATTCAGACAAATATTGTCTGTTATTTCACTTGTGATGTGAAAATTCAATACTAATTCCTGTAATTTTTCTGGCTTTTAATTAACAGATTGTTTACAAAAAAGTACAGATATTATTAATTATAGAAATATTTTTATTGATAATCACATATTTGTATATATTTTGCAATTATCTGAGTTTGTGTTTAATTAAAATATTTGTTTTTAATTTATTGATTAGCTCTGCTTAACGCCCAGAGCGCTGTACAACAGCCACCGGCCAATCAAGTAGTCAACAATCCCTCATCAGTGGCACCAGTAGTCAAAGCTGATCCTCCGACCCCAACCACCAGCACAACCCCCGCACCCGTGACAACAAGTCCGGCGCCTCCCACGCCAACCCCTCCGCCCAATCCCGACAGCTGGACGGGTAATGTGACCGCCGGTAACACGACATGCATTCGCGCCCAGTTCTCGGTTCAGGTGATCGTGAAGTACAACAACACCAACAATACTAAAGAGTTGGAGACCGGGTTTGATATCCCGAAAGGCGCTGTCGTCGATGTGAGCAAGAGTTTCTGCAGTAGCGATAAAGAACCGTTGGAAGCGCTGACCATTAGNTTTGCCATTGGATTCAAGCAGTCTTAAGACAACTCAACGACAACGACATATACACCACTAATCAGACACTAAACGCATCCACTTATCAAACCATAACTCGCTATTTATAAAGCAATCAATTGATTAGCTTTTTATATACGAGTGAACCCCTGATATAGTGAACAAACAAATGGTTGCGCTTAAAAATCTCATATTAATGGCTGTAATCGTAAAGCAATTATTCAAATATTTATATCCGTTTTACTAAATAATCAAATACTAAATCCATAACAAAAATAAAACTCACAAAATGTGATCAAAAAATATAACGTAAAGTCATTGACAATAACAGAGACCAGACATCTCTATGAGTGATAATAATTGTCTTTTTCTTATGACTTAAACTATACATCTATTGATAGACAGCAACAAAATGAGTCATTATTAAGACATCAAAACACATAATAAATGGCAAAATAATACAAATAATGGATTGAGAAATACATGGCCTAAAGAGTAATGCAAAAGATTGACAGCAAAACCAATACTATTCACTCAAATCAATACAAATCAATTGACTCAACGATAGACACAAACAATACAATGAAAAGCCACACAAATTGCATATCATTTCACACATATCTCACATACAATTCAATACAACAACTAATTTGATACTTAAATCTCGTATTAATTAATTCAATAGTAAAGGCGTTGAGAGAAACAAATCAATTAAATAATGATTGCATTCAAAAGACATTAGAAATACGTATTGAAAAATGGGTTTTACTCACGGATTAACGCAAACATCAAGACATAGATTAAAGACATTATTAACGAGAGATTTGTGTCGTTTTGTTGAGACAAACGGAGAGGTATTTGAGACGAAAAACACTTACAAAAAGACTAATTAATGAAATTAATAATCAAATGATTGAATGATTGGATCTATTGTTTGGTCACAAAAAGCATAGAAAAAAGTTTTGTTGAGACAAACGGAGAGGTATTTGAGACGAAAAACACTTACAAAAAGACTAATTAATGAAATTAATAATCAAATGATTGAATGATTGGATCTATTGTTTGGTCACAAAAAGCATAGAAAAACTAAACTGTATTTCAATTCACACAACAAAAAAGCAAACCATAAATGAAAGTATCGTTCAATTCTATGCCTCACTGTATGTCTCCGTCGCTCTCTTTAACGCTATTTCGCTACAGAAACGCCTCTAAAATATGGCAAACAGTGTATGACTTAAGGGCAGAGTTGACAAAATCCTCAAAACCCTCCTCAACACTCAACCCCAGAATACGCTATCCCTGAATGCATACTCACTTTATTAGCGCTTAAATCTATACAAATGCTAACTCTATTGTTGGGGTTATTACGGGTCAATGTCAGTGTGAGTGTCGGGCGATATCCCCGAATCGCTGGCAACACTACATCCCCACACAAAATGTACACTCAATGGCGCAAAATCTCTGTCAACTTTCAATCATATGATCGTACGATTGAATGCCTCCAATCGTCGTAAGTGTTTGACGTTATGTCGCCGTAAAGTTGAGCCCTTTTACTAGTAGTGAATGAGTTGGCAGTGAATGCGTTGCGAACGCCAGTCATAGCACACACAGGCATTCGCTATGGAAAAGTACTAAACGCGTGACTCAATGGTTAGTGTGTTATTCAACGCCTGTATTGAGCGATAGTTTTGGGGATTTTATGAGAAATTGTGAAATAAAATCAAAAAAAGTTTTTTCCCTTTTGTTTGACACGTGATATGAATTGACGGCAAGTTTTTTGTCAACAATTATTGTTTGCGATTATCATTTGGTCGACCAATTGATCCCAAGACTGGACACGAATAATGGCCGAGAAGTGCGTTCGCGACCGACTTCTCTCTATTGTCGACGACATGGAAATGATAGCCAAGTATTGACACCAAACGAAGACATGACACGTCCCGTTGCTAACCGATTATCTCAATGTTATTGTCTTCCTCTGCAGAGAGCTGTTGGAGATTGTGTTGACACCGAAGCCGTTGCGACCGAATCAGATGCTGGACAGCAACCAATTGGCCGATCTATTGGTGGCCAAAGACCGCGAATTGAAGGCTGAGCTCAGGTTGGCTAAAGAGCAGGAAGACGTCCACAAGAGTATGTGTGAACTGCGCGAAGAGGTGGACAAACACGACCAACAGATCCGTCAGCTCCAGAAGAATCTCAAAGAAGCCGAACATATATTGGTATGCAATCGATAGACAGTATTATTGAATTACAAATACTGTATAAATAATGTGATTATTTGTTTCGATGAATACATTCAGTCGACTGCCATATATCAGGCCAAACATAAGCTACAAATCATATCAAAGGCCACAACACAACCGATGCAATCAGAAGAGCTGATTAGATACGCCCATAAGATCAGTGCCGCCCACTCGGTGTCGGCGCCGTATAATTGGGAAATCGGTGACCAGAGGCGGCCCTATCCCACAGATGTGGAGATGCGTTCCGGTCTATTGGCCAACGCCAGCGATCCCACCACTATGTCCAACATTATAGCCCAACAGTCGCATCAGATGAACAACTATGGCAGCGGCGCTCAGACGGCCCAACAGCAGCAGCAAGAGATGGGTCGACCGCCGAGTACTGCCAGCAATTCCAGTAACTCGTCGTTCGCGTGGGGACAGGACGTGAAGCCCAATGTGAGCGCCCTTTCCGGTGCCGGTTATCCTCCGCCGCCGGCGTTCGACAATA